TCAATAAGCTCAGAGAAATTGAGCATCGCATCAGCTACAGCATTGTCTCCAATATCCGGGCGGAGGAGTGGTTCAGATCCTCCAAAGGTGACCCGGCGCATGACGGCGATTGCCTCGCGCTACACATGTTTAGGTTTCCGAACAAGCATCCAAGCTTGTTAGCCTACAGGGACTCTGAAGAAGGAAGAGCTGAGACTGTCGAGGTAATCGGCCAGAAGACAGTACTCAAGGAAACCGAGCGTTTCAAGTACTTTATCAATGCCGACTGATTCCGATCAGTCCTGGCAAGAGCCGCTCGTCTGCACTGCACGCAGCTCGACCGACAGGAATCCCAGAACCCGTTCGAAGACGGGAATGCAGCAACGAGCCGGCAGGTATCGAATCGATACGTCAAGAGGCCGACCCACCGGCCAAGCCAGCGCACAGGAGCGATCTAGGTCAGAGCGAGGAAGATCCCAACCTACTCGCTGGGTCCGAAAGGACGATCCTCGCGACGCTCGGTAAGAGCCTGGCACGCACTTGACCGCTCTAGTGGTCAATTCAATTCGTTCTGCACGGCAGCTTGTACAGTTTTGCCTTTAGTTACTTTTATACATAGTATTGATTCGCATGCTCCAGGACAAAGAAATTTGTGTCTGTTTTGTTTCTTGTTTTGGGCCTCCATTCGCTGTCGCTTCATGATGGTCACGTTATATGTATGCTCTCCCGCAATGCATATGACTTGCCAATATATTTGGCTCAAGGTACACTTTGCGCGATAGAAAAGCGCTTAGCTCGCCTTCGCTCGCACGCTCTTGTGGGACTTGCTAGTCTGTAAGCCGATCCAGGTCGACACAGCTGTTTACCGCTCCGCTGCGAAAAAAATCCACCCTCACCCCACCCCCACCCCCCACCCCAGCACCATGTGATGACATGACCAAGACCCAGCGTCGTGGAATCCAAACATATCAGAACAGTGGGTTTAGTTTTCCGTCCCTAGGCAAAATCAAGTCACACGTCCTTTTCTCAGGATACTGTGTGGTAAGTCCACTTCATGTCTGCGCCGCCTGATTCTGGCTCTTCAGATGTTTGGTGTACAGTTGAATGCACCGGATCAATTTCTGATGGCTGGGCTTCGTGGAGTCCTGCTAGGTGCTCGCGAAGCTGTTTAGCGAGCGGCGACGGCCGTCGTCACTGTAATGCAAGCCCTTGAATTTTCCTTGCCAAATGATCTGATGGTGGCCAATGCAGTTCTTCAATGCTCAGGTCGAGGTATTCCTTCTTGCTGTCCATTCGACCGTGGCACGGAGAGCATCTTGGAAACGCTCTGAGACGTTGGTCGATGAGCTTTGGGCCATGGCTGACAACACTTGTCAATCTCTGGGGATCACTGTGACTCAAACCCACGCTCGATGACGATGTGCAGCCAGGGTTCCTTTTACTGGTCGCGATAAGGCTGCAAAAGTCGAAGAGATCTAGTTTCGATCCGTCAACGTCAGCAGCATCCTGCTCAGCGTCGAACACTGCTCCAAAAACATGCTTGGATAGCAAAAGTGATGTTTGAGACGGAACTACGCGACTTGCACGAACCACTGAGCAAGTGGACTCAAATACACATAGGAACTAGTGATCACGCTGCTGTTTCCAAATCGAAAAACAGTATAGACTTTGACTTTCTCGATTTGCTCAACGATGCGAAAAGGGGTGTGGCACAACAGAGCTCCCTTGTCCGCTGGCATTCTCTCATGGCCATATATGGAAGTGGCTCTCTCACATTTCTGAGTAGGGGCTGATGACTGACTTCAGTAAACCCTGTAGCAGCAGAAGCTGTAATTGTGTTGGGTTTGGACTCATTCTCGTCGACGGGGGCATTCTGCTTTGCAATGCCCCTTCTGCAGGCACCCTCTTCACTCCCACTCTGGGCAGGCGGTTTCCGGCTCTTGCCCTTGCCTCCAGGGCCTTTGATTGGCCACATTCCCCGAGTCCGGTTGCGTTCTGAAATTCGTCGGCGTGCTTCCATGTAGCTGTGGAAGCAGGATGCGGTCTCTAGGCTGGTAATCTTCATCCTCCATGACATTGACAATCTCACATGTTTTTGTTCTAGTGGAACTCTTGCCTGAAGACTGCAATTCGGTCAAAGCAGTATCAACTTTGTGAATTCAAGCTTTCCGGCAGAGTCCATGACAATCTCCTTCTTCTGTCCATAAGGAATTGCGAAGCAAGCAGTATGCCCTCGTCTCCTCAGGGTCACCTGAAGTGCTGTGAGTTCGTCCAACTGGAAATCATGCCTTGCAAGATATGGCCCATTCGTCTCATCACTGCCAAGAACTGTGATGTATATTGTTCTTTCAATTCGCTCAAGCTTCTCCTCGTGCTTTGCCTTGCCATACTCCTCCAAGTGTGGAGACCAACAGCTTGATTCCATCCACTGTTCACTTTGAGCTTCCGGGCGTCCACACGCATCAGCTTCTTGAAAGCAACGTCCTGGCCCTCGCACAAAAATTGCCGCTCTGTAATGCTCTGTGGGCCATAGGTCTGCAAAAAACTCCAGCGATGTCAGTCTCTCCTTGTCGAAATGATGGCATCATCTGCCATGGAAGGTGGGACAAGGAACTCAAGGTCAGGCTGCTACCAGTGCTGGCAGAGGCACGCACCATCCCCATCGGGCGTCCTGGACTTCCATATCATAAGGTGACGTGTCCAATCCTGCAGCCGCTGGCAGCTCCGCTGCCAATGTGTAATTAACACCAATTCCACACTGGCAGCAGAGGGCGGCTCCCGGTTCCAAGCCGCAAGAACAACCTCGCGGCCCTGGCGCAAACACCTTGTCTCCTTCTTCTCCTCTCTTGGATCCACTGCGGTGTCCTCACCGCCGAAGTACCACACACACATGACGCGCCCCACGCGACCCACGCGACCAAGCCCTCTGACTCTCGAGCGGAGAGGGATCAAGGGATCACATGAAAGAAAGGATCGGTGCACTCAAGTCGCAATATTAATTTACACATGAATTCGTTCAATATGGCAGGATTGTGCACCAAAAAGTTAATCTGTCATTTGGATCTGCCTCTCCCCTCCCCCGGGTTTCGTTCACCGAACAAAGGCCAACACAAAGGCTGGGCTCGGTCGCTGCGCCAGGCGTTGTCTCGCCTGCAATCCTGGCAGCCGTCAACGCCGTCACATATGCCCGTGTTGATCTCGGCGGCACAAGGATCAGCTCGGAGCGCCTGCCGTTTCTCGGGAGGGCGCACGCTGTGCCCACCCGACTGGATCGGTCCGTGACCCCGAAGTCCGACGCGAAGAGGGGACAGGTGATTTGGACTTGACCATGCGCGGGTCAGTCACCCAAAATACCAGAACACGCGACACAAAACGAACCAACACGTCCAAATTCATCTCCCAGAGAACTTGTCCTGAGAAAAAAGGAAGGACCTGCATTTCGCCCGACGCGGACCGAAGGGGGGAAAAACGGCGACTGGCCGGCGGCGACCGGCGACCGATTGGGCGACTGGCGACATCAACGGCATATCCTGAAGCCCAAAAAATTGAGAAAATTGGTGGGTCCATAGCTCCAGTTTGTTGAGTGAAAACTGGTTGAGGTTCGCATGTCTGAGGCCCAGAAAAGGTACGAAGAGACTTTTCTTAGTCCAGCAGCAGCACACAAATGTCTGCGACCATGCTCCGCAGGGTGAGCGGAGTGAAAAGATTGCATGAAAGAGGCATGATAACTGGTGGACTCCAAGTAGATGGAAACGATATCCAATACATGTTGGGTCTGTTGGGAGGTCACCTCGCCAGCTTTTAGTAGCACGATGATGCACGATAGAATATCAGAGAATGTCCATATATATATATATATACATACTGTATATATATATATAGTTATATATGTCAAGAGGCACAGAGTTCCCAGAACCTGTGACTGGTGCGACTTGTAGGGAATAGAATGGATCCAAGGGAATCTCCTGTGGAGTGCGCAACGTTCCCTCATTCCCTGCTATCGTCGCACGAGTCTGACCACCCACCCCTCAGTCGTCCAAGTCGTCTCACGAGAAATCGATCTTAGGATTGAACCCTACTCGGCACCTCCTCACCCCCCTGGCTCTCATCGGAGCTTTTGCATGGTGAAGCCAATGCGCCTAGCCACCAGCCACACTCCGACCAAACCCCCCATGGGTTCGGTGCACACCTGTACGAGCTAAGATGAGGAATCCCCAAATCACCCGCGACCAAATCCGCGCCAGCACCGCTGCCAAGCGCTTTTGGTTCGCCTGGAACTGAAGGATGGAAGACTGGTCATAATAGCTCTCGCGCCTGGGACGCATGTGATTCTACACAGATCCGATCGGCGCAGGGACAAGCTCAAATGGGATCGGATGAGATCAAGGCGAATCAGGGCCCGAGTTAGCCAGCCAATGAGTTTTAGATGCTTCGTTGGGGCCGTCCAAAGGAGAATGACAAGATTTCCTAGTCAAGGGCGGACTGCACAGAAAAAGATCCAACGAATACAAGATCCTCAAACCTCAGCATGGACTATATAATATGTGTATATACATATATATCTCTATATATTATATATATATATATTCATTGACCCCTGAAACATATGCCACACAGGATCCTACAAGGTGTCCACGAAGCAAAACAAGGGTCGAGACTCGAGGAGGCTCGAGACTGCATCGCCAAGCTACTCCATCGGGCAAGTGCTGTTAGAGCCGTCATCGCCGCACCTCAGTGCTTTGCGGACCTGGTTGATTGGTTGAGAGGCTTACCCTTTTGTTTCCCGCAAAAAAGTGTCGGCTCGAATCCTACCAGAGGTTCACCGTTAGCTACCGAAGTTCGAGGGACGCGTTCGACATGGAACTGCCCTTGAGTGGGATCCCCTTTCATCGCTGGACGGGGGTGATCGATGGTGAGTCTTTGGGCCCGCACGCGTCTGTATTGCCACTCTCAGGCACAGCTTTTCGGATGACGTTTCTGGTAGATTGACCGTATATGATGCACAGGTTAATCAAGACAGCATGGGGTTTTTGCTGCTGATTGACGCGTCTTCGGTGATCGTTGCCAGAGGTCAGCTTAGCGTGAGAGACTTGTGTGAAGTCAAAGAGTTGTGTAGTGGCATTGCTCGCATTTCTATGGGTGCGGCACAGATTGGAGGTTGGGCAATAGGAGCTTCAGATGTGAACCAGCTCGCAATCTCTCTCTTGCAAGACGATGGACACCCGAATCCTGTGCAAGGCTCAGTACTGAGGGATGGGGACATCTGTCGCATGCACCTGTTGAATGGGGCCAAGAGATGTACTTTGTCTGCAGGGTTTCCTGCCAGCCCTTCTCGAAGCAGGGCGATGCGAGAGGCATGAACGATAGTAGAGCTTGTGTGTTCACAGGAGTGGCACGAGCAGCTTGGCTCATGCAACCGGGGCTGATCTTACTCGAGTGCGTGGTGGAGGTGGGCTTGTTGCCTGAGATCAATGACACCTTGGCTCAGTTGGCCAGTGGTTTGGGTTTCGGTCTTCAGACGATTGAGTTGGCTCTTGAAGAGACAGTGGCCATGCCGCCGCCGACGGTGGTGGGCAGTGATCACTTCGCACTCTTGGTTGCCCACTCAATTGAGGTCCTGGCCCAGTTTCTCATTCCCTACAGTCAGTGATGTGATTCCTGTCTGGTTGGTTTGGCCAGAGCATGAGGAAGACCAGCTCGAGCTCAATGGTGTTGAGTTGCATGCATTTCATGAGCCCAGCTTTGGCCTCGAAGATCGTGTGCTTCAAACCAATGGGGTGGCGCCCACCTTGCAAGTGCCGTAGTCAGGGGCTCAATCCAGCGAGATTGGAACGATCAGGCCTGAGAGGAGTTTACATTCACTCCCAGCTAAGTGGTATGCCCCGTTGGCTCCACCCTCGTGAACTGGCAGTGCTTCAAACCATCATGCCTGACATGGTTTTCAATGATGACCCATTCCGGACCGCCTTTTGACTCATGTATGGGGTGAAAGGGCGGTGAGCTCATTGCCTCTGTTGGCGTTCACAAGGTGGAGGACTTCCTTGCTGCTGAACGGCGGGCATTGTCATGTTCTGAGGTCTTTCTCTTGGATGATGCCAGGCCATTCTTCCTGCCTCTGGGCAGAGCAGTGCTTATACAATTGAGAGAAAGGAGGCCACAGAACCTACGGGCAGTGTGAAATTGGTTCTAGTGAAGCTGGTGTCGGAAGGCATGACTTGGCAGACTTTGCTATATTCAGGCAGCTTCTTGTTTGAGGCCTTTTGGCGACCTCGCCTTCAGGTCGCTCCTGGCAGGTTCTATGATGACCACGATGGCTGCTGGTTTCCAGACTCACGAATCTGGGATGATGTGACGTTGGTTGACTTGCCAGTTCTGACCAGTGCTGGACCCCTGGACTCCGGAGTCTTTTATCAACAGCCTCAGGATGACATTTCGAGCCCACAGCTGCAGAGGGCAATTGATGGCCTTGCGTTGATTCCTTCTGGTCCTGATCAAGTGCTGCTCTCAGTGGCGCACACTCAGGTATTGGTTCAAGCTCCGCTGCATCTTCCGAGCTCTGTTCTTAACCGATGTCAATGGCTAGTCTTCCATGGAGTCTTTCACAGCTGCAGCCATTGGCCCTTGTTCTCATGCATTCGGGCAAGAGATAAGGTAGAAGTGCACTACTTTGATGGAGTGATACATTTGCTGGACCATGAAATGCGTGCAGTAGGTGAATGGGCAGGCAGACTCTGGAACATTCACACAGTTGAGGTGATCTTTGCCCGAGTCATCATGCAGCCTCAACCACATTTGAGTGCGGCTGTGGCTTTGGCACATCTGAGACAGGCTTGCACTCTTTTGAGTGCACCTTCCTCCGCTGATCTTGAACAATGGCATGAGTGGCTGATGGCACCAATCCAGGATGATGATCAACTCATGAAATTGGACGTAATCCCGGCAGCTGAGGGAGTGGATCCGTTGGCCATGGCAAGATTTGCTGAACACCTGATGGCAGAAGCTGATGGTACGGTTCTCCTGATGCCTGTACTCTACAGTGTCGCCTTGGGGCATGGTCATGAGGATGATGCTTCGGAATTTCTGCGGGACAAACTGCCTCTCACAGTCAGTTGCTCTGCTGATTGAGTCGGCACATCACTGGCTCCTGTTGGTGATCTGTGAATCCACAGGATGGCTTGACATTGACTACTATGATGGACTGCCACATGCTCATGACCAAGTTGTGCCTTTGGTGGCTCAATGGGGCCCATCAATTGCTAGAGGCCAATGGCTATGTTGTCAATTATGTCACTGCTTTGACTCAGCAACAGCATGACCACTGTGGGGTCATTGCTTTGGCCAATTTGGCAATGGTCCTTCGGCCGGAAGAGGAGTGGACACAGTTGGCTCTCACTGAGCTTCATTCGCTGCTTCAGGATTCCTGGGAAGCTTCTCACTCTGTGTGGGCCTGTGGACAGGAGGGCACTGAGCATCGACTTGTTCAGCAACTCGCTGATTTGCTGGTTTCCAAAGGAGTTCCAAAAGATCGCGCACCGCAATGCTCAGAAGATCCAATTGTCTGAGGTGTCCAGTCAGGCTATGCTCTGAGTGGCTTTTGTCGGCTAGCCCGTATCTGCAAGAGGGCAAGAGTCTGGGTGGAAGTGCAAACTCTTCAATTTGAACGGCATTGTGAACCAGTTCGTATGACCTGCAAGGGTAAAACAAAGCGGGATATGGTCTTCATAAGCCCTGAACTGGCTTCACTCTTTGTTTCTGCTCCCGTTGAAGATTACTTCCCATCACTCGGTGGTTTGGGGTACATTCAAGTGCCAACAACAAAATGTCTCGCGCTGGACTTGGCCGTTGCCTGGGCCATTGACTGGACATTGGTGGATGGGAAGAAGTGGCAAAAACATTTTGAGATAGCTCCACATTTACTGGTTGATGGCTTGGACGGCACTCAGAGATTTGAGCAATGGGCTAGATCTTTTGAAAACAGTCTGGATGGATTCACCAATTCTCCTGCAGTGGGACTTTTCCCTGGATCCAAGGGACGTGGTCGGGTCAAGAAGCTTGTGCAACAGCCGCAACAGGCGCCTTTGAGTAGACCAGCTCGTCATGGAGAACAGCGACTGATCTCAGACTTTGCAGGTCGAGGCGTACAGCTATGGTTTAGGCAGCTTCGCAGACTGCAGGCAATTGTTCAAAGCTTGCGAGCAGGCAACTGTTCGAGCTCAGCACAAGCACACAGACTTGAGACATGGGTTGCTATCTGCAATTCCTCGGGATTCCAGCAGGGGTTTCGACTGTGGTGGCATCCCATTCACCTGCATGAGCAATTTTCGTAGGATTGAAAGTTGGCAGCTTCGTCGTCAGCAGGAGATCTCGAGAGCTCAGTTGGCTGCTCACAAAGAGCGGGTGTTTCAGAGAGTGCGCCTGAACCAGAAGGATTACCTGGACACTTTGACACAGACTGAGGAGACATCGATCCTGGCGGTATCAGATGATGGAAGTGAGCTCCATTTAGAGCAGGCAGTAGGAGAGGGTGTGCACGATAGCCAGGTTTGGCTGGTTGACTCGATGGCTGAAATACAGATTGAGAGAAAGGAAGGTGATGTTTATTTAGTGATTGATGCAGATTGCCTTCTTTTGCCAGGTCAAAGCATTGTTTGCCAGAGTTTTTGCACCAATGTTGTGACAAATCAAAAGGTGTTAGCTGATTTTTGGACTGCCCGATGGCAAAAGCATGCACAGGTTCAGGAAAGTGATTGGCAAAGAATTCTGGCCTTTGGCAGAACTTTTTTGCCTAGTCGGAAGCTTGAGTATAGCCCAATATCGCTGCACGGCTGGCAACATGTGAATGCCCGGTACACAGACAGAGCCGCTAGGGGACCTGATGGATTCCATGGCAGAGATTTGCAGCAAACTCCGGTGGGTTTCCAATCTGCACTTCTGGATTTGCTGACGGCCATTGAGCAAGGGCTGGTTGATTGGCCGACCCAACTCCTGACAGGATTTGTGGCATGTCTAGCGAAAACTGCTACGGCCTCAGAGGTGGCACACTTTCGACCTATCATTGTGTTTTCAGCTGGTCCACAGTGCGTGCAAGACCCTTGTTGGCACACTTGGCAGATCTAGCTACACATACCCAATTCGGATTCCTACCTGGGAGAGAAGCTTTGCAGATCTCTTTTCTTATCCAAGGACTGATTGAATTGTGTGTGGCGGCAGACTCTGTGATGCAAGGTCTAGTCACAGACATCCAAAAGGCCTTCGAGAACATTCCTAGACTCCCGGTCTTCAAGCTCGCCGAGCACATAGGGGCCCCTCTGAACATCTTGTCAGCTTGGAGCAAATTCCTGCAAGGCATGGTTCGCAGATTTGTCCTAAGGGGTGAGGTTGGACCTCCGTTGGACTCCACCTCAGGGGTCCCTTGACAGCTGTGCCATGAGCTGTTATGCCATGGGCATAATTGATCTCAGCTTTCACTTCTACTTGTGACACTTTGCTCCTTCAACGTTACCTCTGTCATTCGTTGACAACCTTGGTTTGTTGAGTGTTGAGGTGTCTCAGCTGCAGGGTGGACAGATCGTTCTCCAGAATTTTGCACCTTTGGGGCCTTGACATGGACCTGCGCAAGTCGTGGACCTGGCCCACCAGGACTAGTGACAGGGAGGCATTGGGGGTGCTGGGTGTCAAAACGAGTGCTGGAGACCTTGGAGCACAACATAGCTATTCGGGAGCTCGCAGGATAGGAGTGCAGCGTGAGAGATTGTCTTCTGGATCCGTTGTGGGTGAGACTGCGGAAGCTGGGGGCAGATGACCGCCTCAAGTACATGGTTCTTCAACAGGCCTTCTGGCCGAGAGCGCTGCATGGAGTGTCGGTTTGCCTGCTTGGACCGTCGCACATTGCAACTCTTCGTACTGCAGCAGTGAAAGCCCTGTCACATGGTGCCGCAGGGGCCTCACCGTTGATACGGATGTCCCTGATAGCTCCGGTGAAAGCTGATCCTGGCTTCTATCAAAAGGTGCGGGTGTTATCCGATTTTCGACGCATGGCGGCCAAACAGGACATGGTTCTGGACCTTTGGACTCAACACTTTACAGGATTTGATGGTGTGCTACGCGCTGGGCCTTTTTCCAAACTGCTAGAAGTGCTTGAGCCGTTGGGATGGAGAGTGGTGCAGCCTCCTGTGGTGTGTAACCACCATGGGGTCGAGTTCAACCTTCTGGAAATCCCAGAATCACAGCTGCTTTCCTTGTTGGAGGATGCCTGGATGGATTGGATATCAGGTGAAGTGCGAACCCGAACTGACTTTTCAGGCTTGACATTGATCAACTGGATGGTGGTTCGACGGGCACAGACACATCTGAATGGCCATCAAAAAGCTCAGGTTGCATCTCTCCAGGAGGGAGCTTTTTGCACAGCAGTACAGCAGGCGAAATTCGATAACCTCACATCAGCCAATTGTCCATTCTGCTTGACCTTGACCACCGCTGCATGACTTGCACTCAGCAATTCGCGCTCGATGAAATGATCTGGATGTGGCTACTCGTCACAGACTGATTCCCAAAAAGTTCGCGGAATGGAGCAGATATCAAGGGACCTAGGGCCCGTATTCCCGTTTGAGGAAGTGGAGGCCATCGAAGGGTGGATTGATTTGTTCACAGATGGCTCATGCATGTGTCCTGACATGCCTGAATGTGGCCTGTCAACTTGGGCAATTGTGTCCAGCACTCATGGTTGCACACTTTCCGCTGGCACAGTCCCTGGTTTTAGCCATTCTAGTGACAGAGCAGAATTGGTGGCCATGATTGGAGCCATGACCTGGGCACAGACGCATGAATGCCCAGTGGCCTGCTGGACAGGCAGTGCGTACACAGCAGTTGGAGTCTGGCGCTTGCAGGACATGGTGCAGGATACTCCGTTTGACTCAAATTATTGTGATCTCTGGGAGACCCGTGCCAGTATGCTCCAACAATTGCCTTACCCTTTTTGTGGTTCGCCATATTCCTGGACACTGTAATGAGCATGATTGTGATGGTGTGGTGCAGGCAAGGGCGGCACACTGGAACACACTGGCAGATCGTGCAGCGGCAGCTGCATACTCCTGCTATAGTGAAGAGGTCCGCACTTTGTGGTTCAACCTTGTTCGTCATCAAAATGCCGAATTGCAGACGCTTCGAGCATTGCAGGATCTGCATTGCGAGGTAGGGGAGTGAGTGGCAACGGTTGAGACAGCAGCATAAGGTTGCGCAGCGGGAGGCTGAGGCGCTTGAGGAGGCAACACCTGTTTGTCTCCAGCGACACACCTTGGACTTAGACATGTTCCTAGATGTGCTTCCGAACAACTGGCAAACAAGTGCTCATACCTCAGAGCTTTCTTTTAGTTTTTGTAGTTTTGGAGTGCAGCTGATACTCAATTTGTTGGAACAAGCTGACGATGCTCAGCCACCTTGTGCAGTTTCATGGCTTGAGCTAGCTTTTTGGAGTCATAGATGGTTTGACGGGGACTTGCCTGTCCCAAGTCAGGCCTTATTCGGTTCGTTTTGATTTTGTTTTTTTGGACATGCGGGGTATCGACCTTAGTGCGGTGGGAGTTGGACCTCCGCAGACTGGCCTGGCGCTCAGATGGTTCGAACCAAGTCCGCTTGAGAGGTCTTGAGGACTTGAGGGTTTACTGTGATCGGAGGCCGATTCGTGTTTGTAACGACTTGGTTCGACCGCTGACTGTTGGCGCACCTAACATGGGGTGTGCTTGACTCGACTGCCCCACAGAGGGCCTGGACATGGTGTGGACTTCCGCTTTCGAGCTGTGGGCGCACACCGACTCAAGTGCGTGTGTTTCCCGCAAAAACAGAGGTTAGCCGCCGTTAGCCTTTGTGAGAAAACCAACCCCCAAAGAACCTCAAAGGTGCTGACTGACCCGCCAAGAAATACCAACCAACTCCGGCTTTGGCCGAGAGAATGCCGAGCCCCCAAGTCAAACGTTTGCATGGATTGGGTGAACCAACATCACTCCCAAAGGACGTGCTCGTTAGAAAGGCAAAAGCAAAGCAGTCTGCTTATACAATCAATTGAGGGTCGCACTTGCAGTGGCAGAACTGACAACTG